TAGATTGGCACATTGGTTAAGTTATGGTGATAATAACAAGACATATATGTGGAAACGTGTTTTCATTATTACATGTACTTTGATTTGAGCTCAGAGCCATGTAACAGGTGATATTTTGAAAACACCTTGTAAACTTTCGAACTTCACATATATTTTAATATAATAAACTTAAAAGTTTTTAGATATATTTTAGAGAGAGCATATAAAAATTAAATGGCTGGCAGTTCATATGTTTAAGTTGTACTTACATATATGAATAAGGTTTATATATATATCCAACCAGTATTTATTTGCGTTACTGTTTTAATTATCTAAAGATATCCTGTAGATTATGTATCAACAAAAGACTTCATAGCTGTCAGTAGAAGGTTTGACATACTTAAAAAATATTTGCAGGTTCAAATAATGGAAAGCCGTCAGATTGCTGCAGAAAGGAGAGGAGGAGGAGGTGGAGGAGGAGGCAAAATAAAGAACACCAATATTGAGTATGAAAGGGAACAGCTGAGAAGACAGAGTAGCAGTGATTCTGATCAGCAGAGAGGTACTGGAGGAGGAAAGAAAACAGGAGATAATGATAAGGGGGTCATGGTCACAATGATGCTGTCATCTGGAGTATCTTCCTCACACCCAGTGCTGCCACCTGGTGTATCATCACTGCAGCCAGTGCTGCCACCTGGAGAGTTTTCCTCACACCCAGTGCTGTCTTCTGGTGGGTATTCCTCACAGCCAGACACTGAAGCTCTTATATTGAATGGTTCAGAACCTCCAAATCGAGGTTTCCAGCAAAAGAGGTCATATGATTTGGATAGTGGTCAGAGATGTTGCACGCCGACAGTGATTGATCCTCCAGTATCTGCACCAAAGAGGTTTAAGCTAGGAATCAGGGTAAGTTTTGTTTTTTCATATCATAGGACCTTTTAAATTTTTTTAAATTTAAACTTTTATTCAAATGACAGGTACCATCCATTTCCCAACTTTATATATTCTAATCAAGAAAGGTTCATTTTTAATAATAATTTACTACTATTGGTAAATCTACTGTTTGTGTTTCCAGGTATTTTGAAGGCCAGATGTTACTGTTAAGATGTGGACAAGGTAAGAAATATGAACACAATGAAATACATCTACGTCATTTATATACATGTAGTAAACAGTAAACAGTATATGAGTACTGTACGCTGCCAACTTGAAATTAAAGAAAGGTTTTAGATTTTCTGTTCTATTATTAGGTAAGGTCAAACTTAGGTAAGGTCAAACATATAAAGTATAATCAAAGAATAATCATGCTTTACTTAACATTGAATCCATTTGAATAACTCATTTTCACTGTTTCAGCTATAAAGATTCTTATTAGTGTGGAAGAAGAATGCAGTGTCCACATGTCACAAGGTTCAGGAACATAATATCTTGATAATCTCCAGTGGAATAGGATTCTATCTAAGCACAGTATCACCATGTAGACTATTGCTGAGAGACACTCAGCTGATTTTATTTGGTTGATCTTACAAAGTAACTTAAGAACAGTAACAACTAAAAATTGCTGCTGATCATAGGCTGTGAATTTATATATAATATAAGTGTTTTTGTATACATGTATTTTTCTTGCTTACTCGTGTTCACTTGCTATTGATTTTATAATTATTTTGATTTAATGTAATTCACTTTTGGCATAGATTTTTTTAACCTTTTACAAAGTACATTTTCAAAACATATTAATCGCTTCTGATCATAGGCTGTTATGATTAAAAAGAGCTACAATATCTGTGTTTTTGTTTGTATAATTTATAATGGGAAATTTAATGATTTTTTTTTGGCATAGCTAATTTTTTTAACCTTCCTATCGCAAAAACTGTACAGATGAATTGAGTTATATACGATGATATATGGAATACTGTAGCAAAGCATATAATTGCTTTTATAGAAAATATAATGGGTTCATTTATAGAAAAAAATCATTTTCTTACTGCTTCAATCAATATGCCCCTCAACTGCTGGAGTAGGCATCGGGAGTCCTTTCATTCAAAGGGGATACACGTAAGGCAAGTCCATTCAACTGTAGGGGTATAAGGTTTGGCAAATTCATTCCACTTCAGGGGTGTCAGGTCGGTAAAGACCTATTTAAAGGGGGGAACAGGTAGGAATAGTCCATTTTATTCAAAGAGGTACAGGTAGGATAAGTTTATTCAATTCTAGGGGTGTCAGGTTGGACAAGTTCATTCCATTTGAGGGGTCAGGTTGGGAAAGACCATTCTTTATAATGGGGCAGATGGGAAGAGTCCATTTAAATAAGGGGCTGTTAAGTGGGAAGAGTCCATTGTATTTGAAGGGGTGGTAGGAAGAATTTAAACCATTTAGGGATGACAGATGTGGCTGGTCCATTTCATTTGTAGGGGGTACAGGTAGGACAAGTTCATTCCATTTCAAAGGTGACAGGTAGGAAGAGCCCATTTAATTTTGGGGCTGAGAGGTGGGAAATTTGATATTTGAATGAGGGGTGTCATTTTGGACAAGCCGTTTGGAATTATGTGTGCTTTTATTGGAGTCTTAATTTACGACCCAGTTACCCCCACACCCCTCCCGCCTCCCCAAATAAAAATTGCCGAAAGCAAGGTATATTACGCTAATATTATAACCTGAAATATGACAGTTTGAGATACCTTGCCAGAAACTGTTAAAATAATTTTAAAAAAAAGAAAGAAACGTTGGAATTACAACCTTTTCAATAAAGTTAAAAAATCATTGCTATTTCCATGATTCAAATTATAATGCTCTTTCTGTTTACTGTTATAAATATGTTTCTATAATCGATCTGCATCACGAGTGTTTTTTTTTTTTTTTTGGGGGGGGGGAGGCAACACTAATTTTGATGCATTTTAAAGTTGTAAAATAATCGGTTGGTCGTGTAATGAATGTACAACACACAGTACGCTGGAGACGCCACACAGTTAATCTACGTAAAATATTTCTTCGTTAATCATTGTGTCACGAGTTATCGCGAAGTTTGAATTTTGTTGATGACAGTTGTATAAAGAATTTGTCCATAAAAATGACGTACACGATATCCTTTCATAAGAAGCTCAAATATGTGACGGTCATATGATATTAAGTAGAAAGTGTTCTTTACGGCAATTCTTACATCTAAATGAAAGCTATTTTTAAAAACCCAGTGTCTTCCAAATATGTCCAAGAGGAGAGCTGAAGATTTCAAGCAGACTTAGGTTTTTGTTAAGGTCAGCTGAGAGCGCCGTTTACTACATACGTTTGCAGACAAACAGCATTGTAGGGGAGACCGGGGCTAGTTGGACCCCGGGGTAAGTTGGCCCCCCGTCAATTTATGAAAAAGTAACTACGAGATAAAAAAAATTGGCCACATACTCTTGCAAAGTTACCGTAGCCTACAATGCTAAGGAAGTGTCGGACGTTAAAAAGTTTTACTTAAGCGGTGAGTCGAAATAAACGATTTTTGCACCTAAAAGTAATTTTGTTTAAGAGATTTAAAAATCTATTATCATAGGCTTTCGATCGAATATAAGATATGTATAGGGCATCAAACTGAAGCTCGTTGTTTCAAGTTTCACAGAGATGTATCATCGTTGCTCATTCTAGCACCATAAATGGCTACCATCCTTTAAAATAAATAATGTGCACCCGGGGCTA